ATATCAACAGAGAACTTAGTCATAGTACATGCTCTCGCTTTGTGTGCCGAGCGTAAAATAGTGTTAGTGCATATGTGTGAATATTCTGCAATGAATAATATCCACTAACACTATTTCTTGTGTTATTCAACCAATTACTTAAAAACACGAATAATTGCAGTTCCCTGATATATAGGTGTATACATACAGTGGCGAGCAAAACTGTAACATGGTGTAACACTTTTTACTTCAGCCATCGCTATCTTTCCAAGTTCTAACGACTTTCATACTTTTGTTGCAAGAATGATAGAATACAAGATTGCGCCGATCAGAGAGGATTTTTGAGAATAACTTTTGTGTGACGTCACACTGGTGCAATTGCGAGAGAGAAATGCCAAAACGTGAGCAAGAATGGAAGAAGAAGAAAAAATTTTGCAAGGAAAAACGTAAACAAGTTGCACCAGTGTGACGTCATGCAAACAACGATTCTGTCAAATTCGTTAAGAGAGGAATAGCGGTCCGAGATCGGCGCAACCTTTGTATTCTCTCAATCGTGCTTTTGTTGTATATTCTTGTTGGTACATCCCTACTCCCTCTCTCATAACGATTTGAAGTCAATACAACAACAATAAAAAAACGAGCAGACAAAAATGTAAATTAAGGCAGATGTTACAGTTTTGCATTCATATATTTTTAAGAGCTTTTTACTGCTAACACAATGTTCAGTACTCTTTTGCCTGATTCAGTTCCTGGATGTGATTTGGCATACCTTATTTGTATCTTTGTAAAAATTCTGGAGGTATATCCTTAGTTTGCTTTCACAGCTCATGTACTCGATTTTACGGACTTTGATACTTATTAAGCTGTGCTTTTAGTTGATTTCGAAAATTCTCGATGAGATTCATGTCCGCGGTTTATGGAGGTCATTTCAAATTAGCAAATTTTTGCTTTTGTATCCAGTCTTTGCGAACATATGCAGAATTTTTTGGGTGATTTTTCAGCAGAAACTCTCATTTTTCGACTACACCTTGCAAATTTTGTTGAAATATGAACAGATACTGTTCCTTACGCATAATGCGTACAACCCCAAACAATTAAGATCCTACCACTGTGATTCACAGTTTGCAGTACATGATGCGCTTAGGCTTAATTTGGGTCTTTGATCCAATACCATGACGGCCATCTGATTGAAAGCGATTAATTTAGTCTTGTCAGACCAAATAACCTTCAATTGAAACTTAAAAATATGTTTTTTATTGCATTCTGAACGGCCTAACATATCCCAATAGGCAACGGTTCGGTTTTCGTGGGATGCAGCGAAATGCTGCCACACTCGCACATGTATTATGATCAAACTTGCTTTTTTCTTCTTTATGATGCCTTTGCGCTCAATTTGACAATTCTTCTCCTCGCTGTATATTGATTTGCATTAAAGTTTAATACCTTAAGCGCTTCTGTAATAGTGGCTGCCTCGCTACTTGCTTCTAAGTTCACAAGATATCGTACCGTAATATTTTTTAACAGCCTTCCTCTGTCCTTGGGAACACTTTAGGCTATATTTTTTCTAAGTCTTAACATTTTTAGGTAGCAAATTCCATTTTTGCCACTTTTCATGCGGTTCCGCCTTTCCGCAGTAAATCTATTATTTACATTTATGGTTCCTGATTAACTACATATGTTATTTACTGGTGATCACTTCTTCAATAAATTACAATATAGAAAAAAGTCATCTGACTTCCAACTAAGTAAAAGATAACTGTCAAATGCAAAACTGAGAGTGAGTGCAACACTGTAACATCTGCCTTAATTTACATTTTTGTCTGCTGGTTTTTTTATTGTTGTTGTATTGACTTCAAATCATTATGAGAGAGGGAGTAGGGATGTACCAACAAGAATATTCAACAAAAGGATGAAAGTCGTTAGAACTTGGACGGTGGCTGAAACAAAAAGTGTTAAACCATGTTACAGTTTTGCTCGTTACTGTACATATACATTTATATCTCTATAACTAATTTTAATAAAAATATATAACTATAAATATGAATAAGAAAACATTTTCCAATCTCTTGAGCAAAGAAAAGGCGGAATTAGAAGCTTTGGTGGCAAAATTCCGCAGGCGTGTGCTCTAGAGGTTGAAACTGAAAAATGAGTAGCTCAAGTAGAGTAGATTTAGATGACATTCCTAGTACTAGTGCTGCAGCAGGTTATATTTTTGATAATTATGAAGATGACTGTGACGATCGGTACTTTTTTTGAATATGATGTCGAATGCGTAGAGGAAGTAGAAGGGACGGACCCTGAAGAGAATAAGCGCTTAGAGTTAAAGGCGTGGGCTATAAGAAATAACGTTTCTCATAATACTTTGACGCATATGTTACAAACAATGAACAGAGTAGGTGTAAGCGGTTTGCCATTATCTGCAAAAACTCTCCTCGGTACAAATAGAGATAAAGTTGATATCGATGATATAGCAGCAGGAAAATTATTATATTTAGGAATTGAAAGTAATTTAAATTCTTTAGAATTCAATTTCTTAGAAAATAGCGAACACGTAGATATTGATGTCGGAATTGATGGACTGAAGCTTAGAAAATCCGCTAGAAACTATGTTTGGCCTGTTTTGGGCTCAATA